CCACGCATCAATATCAGCAGCAGCAGCAGCAGCAGTAGCATTAGCAACAACACCATCAGCAGCAGCAGCAAACAACAACAACAGCACTATTAGGGCCAGGTCAAACACTTGGCCGTCAAGTTAGGTGTGACCCGCGGGAGGAGGGGAAGCAGTGGGGGCTGCAAGTTTCGCTAACCTCTCGGCCCTGCTGGCCTGGCCCCTGGCCGGCCCCATCTGGTAGACCGCAGGCCAGCGGCGCGGCGCCCTCGAGGAACATTCAACCTGCGCGGCACGGCCCCGCCAGACTCCGCTGGGCCTGACGACGACGAGCTCGGGCGCTTGTTGGGGAGTTTGAGCAAGAGGGATGATTGGGACGGGGCTGGTGAGGGGTGGACGCCGGAGACGGGCCTCGCCGCGGGGGAGAGAGGAGGGCAGAAGTGCGGCATTGACGCTTTTGCCATGCTGATTGCGTTACGACGCAGGGGCGGCCGCGGAGGCGGCCGTGCAGGGCCGCACAGAACAGGACATCCGCGTGGCCACTGAGGAGTAGAGGAGGGACAGGCAAAGAAGCACCACCCCCCTCTCTTTTTCCTTCACTCTGCGCCCCTGTCGACAGCATGAGCAAGCAGCACGTGGAGGGGAGGAAAATTTTCGGCGCTTTGTGCTGAACACTGAGCGCACGGGGCTGCCGCGCGCGCACTACGCACAGACGCAGTGGGCCCGGCGGCCCGCGGGGCGTCCCTCCACTGCCCCACCACCTGCACGGAGTCTGCCTGTCTGTCTTCCTCTCTGTTTATATTTCCCTCCCTCTCCCGCCCACCATGTAAACATTACTGGTTTTCTTGTTCAACCTGCTACCAACTCCTTAGTTATTATATTAACCAATCGAAATGAAACTTTTCAATTCCTCATGAAATTATTAAGGCATACCACAAGGATGAAAATCGCGAGTAAAACCTTTTTTTTGTGTGTTTCGTAGCTCATCTGTGTAGTGTGTTTAGACCCGTCTTCTCCCGCAACTCCCTGATGCAAGCTACCTTGCTGGCAGGATGGTCATGGGCCCATGCCACCCGATCAACCATCCGTTACTACAAAGATTTTACGTGAATCGAATCGCGCTGGGAGAGATACGATACGTACGGTTCGATTCATGATTCATGCATGTCATCTTACTTTGCAAATTTTCGATCACATTTTGTTATTTAGTATAAGGCCTAAGATTAAGGCCTTGTCTTTTTCTCTGGTTATTGGTCGATTGGTTCCGGGATGTTCCAGTCTAAATTGAACTAGTATTGATGGCAAAAATAAAACAAATATAAAACATCCCCCTATAGTGGTGATATGGCGCAGGCATCAGATCGTCGGTGTGTCAGGTTGCGACACTCGATGCGCCTGCGCCGCACGTCTGTCCAGCTGAGCAGGTGCTGGAGGGAGCGAGATGGAGCAAGAAGGAAAAAAGAGAATATACTGGAGGAGTAAGTGAAGACGCGACTTGAAAGTGAACGGGAATAAAGGGAAAAAGCGAGAATGCGGCTGATGATTGTGCTGATTGCTGACAGAGTAGTTCGCTCACTCAATAACGGAGAAAGAAGAGGGGTTTCTCTCGAGCACCATCGCCACTTGGAAGGCCTGCTGGGGAAGAAGCAGGCATATCTGGAGCGGCACTTATGAGCAGCGGTGAGGGGGAGGGGGGATCCTTGCTCATCGCTGGACTCGATCGCGCTCATTTGCACCGCTGGCCGAGGCCGCAGCTCAATCCTTTCTCCTTCATTTTTTCCCCATTCTTTATCGATTGTATTCTCTTTTTTACCCGCTTTTTTTCTGAAAGGCAAGAGCGCCCTGCCCAGCACCCAGAGGTCGCCCGACGCCTAGAAGGTGTATATGGTCATACTGCAGGCGGTATCTCAGCCGCATCTTAGCCCACAGCCCGTCCATTTCGCTTTCTCAGCTCGGGAGTGCATTTGGCGGGTAGTGAGGGCCAGATTGAGTCAGAGAAAGATGGTAGAAAGGAGGGGGCAATCACACTGGAAAAAGCACCTACAAAGGCGTCCTCTCCTGTAAGAAAGTGGAGTGCATGGTATGATACTGCACTGTGAGACTTATTATGCATGTGTTTAAATAAATATATTGCTCGACCTAGTAGCAGCCTATTAGGAGTGCAAGATTAGTCACCTCCTATTTCACAGGAAAAACAAAATGCAGTAATGCACATATTTTCTCGGACATATTTTCTGAAGTGATAAATTTGGTTTGGCATAGATGAAACAGTGCATCTTAGTAAGGCGCCTGGCGGGTAGGCAGCAAAAAGCCACGATGATTGAGCGGGTGGCCTATCCTCCGTTCGTCAGGCGTCAGAGCAAAGGACCATGCAGTTTATTCGGACCTGTCGCCGCATTCACCTAGGTTCTAGTGCCAGGACCCCCACCTCTGCATGCTGATTTAGAGCGTGCGCGCGCATGTGTGTGTGTGTATGTGTGTATTTTCTGGGTGTGGTTTTACGGGCCTCACCACGGGCCCATTCACTGATCTCTCCCTCTCTTCCTCTCGGGATACGCGCCGGCGCAGCGATGGACGCCCGCTGTGTGTGTTGTGTCCGGCGAGCTGCGCGCGCATGGGTTTCACTTTCGTCAGCGAGCTTAAGGTTTATCCCTCCCGTGTTAGTGTGCGAGATTCTCTCTCTCTCTCTCTCTCTCTCTCTCTCTCTCTCTCTCTCGTTGTGTGTGTGTGCCGGTATCGCCACTTCGTCTCTATCCACAATCTCCGTCTCCGTCGGCACGTGTGTGTATGTGTATGTGGTGTGGCCGCGGTAGGCGATATGGGGGTATAGAACGGGCCTACAGCCGGCCCTGCTCAGTGCTCCTGCCTCTCTTGTTCACTTTCCCACAGTCTCTCTCTCTCCCCTCCCCTCCCTCTCTCGCTCTCTGTCTCTGTCTCTCTCGTTCTTTTGCACGGTACCCTTTCTCTTTCCACCTCAAGAGTAATGCGGTGGACGTTGTAATTGATAAGCTTGGCTTGGACGGGGCTCTCTTCGATTACCCGATGGGTGCGAGTGAGTGAGCAGAGCACCAGAGGGAGAGAGAGAGAGAGAGAGAGAGAGAGAGAGGGGGAGGGAGAGAGAGGAGG